AGTAATCATAGCAATAACAATGCCTATTTAACTTGTTACAATTGTGGAGAACCTAGACATATCTTATGCAATTGTATGTTAAAAAGAATCCAAAACCAAAATCAGCCTCAAATGCAAAATCAAGTAACATCTCAAGCCCAGTCTCAAGTTTATATGAATCATGCTGCAACATCAACCCAGATTCTCTCCTGTTTAAGAGATGCCAATCATATAAGTGTAGTTAACGAACCAGATGAAAACATTAATGAAAATAAAGCCTTTACTGCATTTGCCATCCATCAGTAATCTTATACTACTCAAAGACCCAGTCACTATAGGAAAATAGTACCCATGCCAACTAATGAAGGATCCAATCCCAACTAGACCTTTGAAATTATGCCTGCCATCCTCTATCAAGTGAAATTCTATCAGTAACAACTGTCTCAATAATCCTGTCCCAGTAATGTTTGTCCCAGTAATGCCTACCCCAGTAATGCCTGCCCTAGCAGCACTTATACCAATGAATACCCCACAAGTATCCCATAGGAAAAGAGGACCTTTAGTGGTCGATAACCTGAAACCATATAACATTGTGCAGAATTTGTTAAATATGAAAGCCAATGTTTTATTGGGTCAAATACTGCAATATCCCAATCAAAAATGCAACCTGGCAAATGTAATAAAAAGGCTCTTAGTACCCATAACAACCCAGAACCCCAAACTAATTGATATGAAAGTAATAACTGTACAAGCCTCCACAATTGCAAGAACCATCACTGCCTGTTGCCATATTAGAATTAAAGAAAACTACATAGTGGCTATGCTTAAATCAAGTGCTGCTATTAGCATAATATTAAATAAAATAGTGAAAAAACTGCAATTGAAGATTAATGAACCTTTACAACAATAGTTATTATTGCAAATAGAGCTAGGATAAGGGCTATTGAAAAAATAATTGACCTTAAGTTGGCATGAGCAGTGTAGTGGACTCGCCACTTTCCAAATTATAGAATTAACTGAACAGATCCTTTTGTTAGATATGAATTGGTTTTGTCAAACTGGCACCCATTTGTATGCTGATAAAAGAAAGCTGTATGTGCAATGCCAGAGTAAATTCATAAAAATACTTATGTTTTATGAAGAAGAAATTTCATTAGCACCCTTAGCAATAAAAGTCAAGTCTGAGAAGTTGCAAAAGCCAGATGATGAAGACTTATTTGATAACTTTAAATTCGATGATAAAAATTTAGACAAACCAGACAAGTTCTTGACTGACCAATATAGCAAGTTAGAGTTGTATGACAATCTGTAGCTTTACCATAAAAGTCCTGCTATGTATCTGTCTGGTAATAAAAGTGTTCTTGTATATAGAACTGAGGAAAAAGAAGAAAGTGTAATCAAAAAGTTAAAGAAGAACCTTAACAATGAAGCCATAATAAATAATCAAAAGAACCATATGAACAATATATTGAGTCAGGAAGTGAACATTTTTGCTGAAACTGTAGATAATCCTGAACAAACATTAGCATACATTCACAAAATAAACACTAAAAGTGCCTTCATGATTAAGCAAGTTCTCTATTGTGCTGCCTCTAATATATGCAGCTTTATAAAGAATAAAATTGAAAAGTTGAAAGCAAAAGGTTTAGTTAAAGAAAGTACTAAACCATGGGTGTTTCATGTAGTCATTGTGCTAAAAAAAGGTAGTTAACTATGTCTCTATATTGACTATTGAAAGCTCAGTTCAGTTACAAAAAAAGACACATTTTTTCTTTTCTATATTAATGATCTTTTAGAAGTTTTTGGATCAGCCACTTGGTTTTTGATGTTGGATTTGCTATCTGGATACTGGCAAGTCATGTAAAGAATACCTATAGGAAAAAGCCCATGTTCATTACAAATTTTAGAATGTATAAATTTGTGATAATGCCATTTAGCCTGACAAATGCTTCTGCCACATTTCAATGAATGATGAATAAAGTGTTGGCAGAATTTTTGAATAAATCATTGTCATATACCTTGATGATATTATTATATAATTGCCAATGTTTGAAGACTATACTAATCACCTCATTACTGTTTTTGATAAATTAAAGAGTGTAAGGTTGAAATTAAACTCAGATAAGTGCTTTTTCTTTAAACTCCACTTGCAATTTCTAGGTTATATTGTTAGTAGAGAGGGCATCACCCTGACAAAGAAAAAGTAAAGAAAGTTCATAACTTTTTTGTCCCTCAGTCTCTTTATAAATTATAAGGTTTTTAGAAATAGCTTTATATTATCAGAAGTTCTTTTTTAAATTTGCTGCTATAGCATGTTTTTTGCACCTGTTATTATAAAAAAACATCAAATTTGAGTAGAAATAAGATCAAGATAATGCCTTCAATAAATTAAAAGACACTTAATAAATGTGCTAATTTTATGCTACCCAAATTTTGATAAAGCATTCATAATTCATGCAGATGCTTCTGGGTTTGGTCTAGATACTGTGTTGGCACAAAAAAATAATCAAGATAATAAATACATTGTCACATATGCAAGCCATAGAATAACAAAGGCTAAAATGAATTACACCACCACTGAACATGAATGCCTTACTGTTCTTTAGATAATTGAGTACTTTCACCATTACATCAGGTGGACCTTTTAGTTATAGTAACTAATTATTCTGCCTTGAAGTGGCTTCAAACTTCTATGTTGAGTAGTTGATAAGCTCTTTGGGTATTAAGGCTGCAGCTTTATAACTTCAAAATAATTTACCATTGTGAACATATCTATAATAATGTGAATGCATTATTCCAAATTAGAGAGCCCTTGAATAAAGTGTACTATCATACTGCTAATAAAAATAAAAAGAAAAAGAAGGATTAGTAAAAGGTAAGAACTATATAAACAAAAAATAATAATCTGTTATTGTGTAAATGAAATTCAAACTAGGTTACAGATGTCCTGAACCCTTCTATCACAAAAGAAAAAACAATTGAAAAACAAACAAACAAAAAAAAAAAGATATAAGTAAATAAATAAATAAATAATAATAATAATAATAAAAAAAAAAGAGAAAAAAAATAATAATATAAAATCAAAAAAAAAATCATTAAATATTTTAATAAGTGGTGGCAAATTAGTAGTGCAAAACAGATATATAAATATATATACATTTGAATAATAATAAAATAAGTACAATAAAAAATAAAAAAAAACTATAAATATGGCTCTCACTTACTATCAGCAATTGAAGCAATATATAAAGAAGCAATATCTACCTCCAACTATCAACTAAGCCTAACAACAATGAATCAAAAAAAAGAGTGCCTTCTTCAATCTCAAGGATGGATTTTTGTATTAAAAAGACTAAAGGTATAAAAGAAGCCTATTACAAGTCCTGCAACAACATGAAGTTGAACCAATATGATTCTTTATGCATACACACCCACTAGATGAACACTTTAACAAGAATGTTATATTAGAGAAAATTTGTAATATGTACTTCTGGTCCCAAATGTATGTAAATATATGCTATTACATTCAAACATGTGATCAATATTAGCACTGAACTTGAGCACATGAACAAGGCCCCCTAAACCTGCTACTAGTAACTGTGCCCATTCATAAAATCATCATAGATTTTGTTGGCTCTCTGCTACAAACCCTCAGGATGAATCGATACATCATCATCTTCACTAATCACATGACCTATTAGCCTAAAGCACATGCTATGCAGAAAGTAGATGCTTAAACTATTGCAGAATTCATCTACAATAATATAGTGTGTCATCATGAATGCCCAAATTAAATTTTGTTACATTATAGAATACACTTAAGGAATAAGCTAATAAGACATCTGTTGGAAAAACTAAAGATTAAGCAAAGTTTCTTTATGCCATACCATCTCTGTACTAATGGCCTAGTTTAACACTTCAACAAGACCTTGTGTAAAGTTATTACCAAACTAATTGAAAACATTATTGATTAAGACTTGCTAATTCTTCAATATTATTTGCTTATCGAACTGCCCAAAATTCTGCTACCCAAATGTTACCTTTTCTGTTAGTATATGGTCATAAAGCAAAACTGCCTATTCATCTGTGTCAAGAAGAAGAAACCTTAAAAGGAACCATATTGCAGAGGACTTTCGATCTTGTAAACGTTGTATCCACCCTTTGTGAAAAAGCCATCTAGCAGATTGGCCAATAGCAATTAAGGCAAAAGAATTATCATGATAAGTATTATAAAATCAGCTCTGGATTCGACATTGAAGATAAAGTCTTGGTTAAAGATGCTGCAAAGAGGTATTCATGTAGTAAAAAGTTTATCCCAAAATATAAAGGACCATTCTATATCTATAATAAGCTGGTAAATAATGCATATAAATTGAGAACAATGAATGAAAAGGTAATAACTAATGATGTGCATTTTTCAATTTTTTTCGCATAGGAATTTCTCAAAACCATTTATAAGTTTTCAGAATATTTCAGAATCTGTTAAAAATTTTGACCTGTATTATGATAGCTTCTTAGTATAAAGTATATATAAAATTATATACAATTTTTTAAATTTGTGTAATGCAGTTGTGCATTAAGGTATTAATTCAAACTTTGTTATTTTAAAAAAATCAGGTATATTACTTAAAATACTGTCATATGTGTTTCAAAATAATGTGTTTTTATATTTTATTTAACTTAATATAGTTTCTAATAATTTTTATAATATAAGTAACAAAAAACATAATAAATAATTATTTTTTGTTTACTAATTTAATAATATACTTATTTATTTTAAATTAGATTTTGCCAATTACATCTTAAAGCTTAATATTTAAACTTAAAACTAATAAATACTAATAGTATTTTAAAATAAGTTATTATAAAAAAAACTTAAAACTAAAATCTTATAAATATATTTAAATTTTAGATTTTACCTTATTTTTTTTTTTTTTTTTTTTTTTAAGGTGAGGCCTTGCTTGTATCTTTATTTGTAGTTTAAAAATTAGTAGCTACGTGGAGCTGCTATGTACAAAAAGTAATTTTCTATATAAATGCTATGGCTAAAAC